GGCGGGGTCTCGCTCAGATCCCCGCGGTGCTTCACCCCGCAGGACCCACCAGCAGCCCTCGAAAGTGGCGACAGTGTCGCAGATCGCAGCCCCCCCCCAGGGACGGCGAGGTCTCGCTCAGATCCCCGCGGTGCCTCACTCCGCAGGACCCACCAGCAGCCCTCGAAAGTAGCGACAGTGTCGCAGATCGCAGCCCCCCAGGGACGGCGAGGTCTCGCTCAGATCCCCTCGGTGCTTCACTCCGCAGGGCCCACCAGCAGCCCTCGAAAGCGGCGACAGTGTCGCAGATCGCAGCCCCCCAAGGGCGGCGAGGTCTCGCTCAGATCCCCGCGGTGCCTCACTCCGCAGGACCCACCAGCAGCCCTCGTAAGTGGTGACAGCGTCGCAGATCGCAGCCCCCCAGGGACGGCGAGGCCTCGCTCATATCCCCGCGGTGCCTCACTCCGCAGGACCCACCAGCAGCCCTCGAAAGTGGCGACAGTGTTGCAGATCGCAGCCCCCCCCAGGGACGGCGAGGTCTCGCTCAGATCCCCGCGGTGCCTCACTCCGCAGGACCCACCAGCAGCCATCGAAAGTGGCGACAGTGTCGCAGATCGCAGCCCCCCAGGGACGGTGAGGTCTCGCTCAGATCCCCGCGGTGCCTCACTCCGCAGGACCCACCAGCAGCCCTCGAAAGTGGCGACAGCGTCACATATCGCAGCCCCTTTGGCAAGATGCACACACAAGAGGTACCGCAGCCAGGATGCACACACACACACACACACACTAAAGGTACGCACAAGACAAGAGGAGGCAATAGGAAAGCGAGAGGCGGGAGGCGGGAGGAGAAGGACGCGCGAGCAGTGTTCTTCTCAAAACGAATACACAAGCAAGGAGGGCTGAGAAGATCAACAAAACAAATCATTACCATTACCGCTGTTCCGTTACATGTGCAGAAGGAGTTGGATGAGGAGCGGGAGGAGGAGGGGGAACAAGAAGAAGCAGGAACAGGAGGACGGATCAGGAGGAGGAGGAAACGGAAGAGGGATCAGGGGAGGAGGATGGATCAGCAGAGGATAGGAGGACCAGGATGATAAAGGGGGATCCGGTGGAGGAGGAGGAGGAGGAGGAGGAGGAGGAGGAGGAGGAGGAGCGGAAGAGGAAGAGGATGAGGATGAGAGGAGGACGACAACGAGGAGGCGAAGAAGAGGAGGAGGAGGAAAGAGGAGGTGGAGGAGGCGAGAGGAGGAGGAGAAGGAGGAGGGGCCGGGAGGAGGACGGGGGGGGGAGGAGGAGGATGAGAAGGCGGAAGGAGGGGGAGGAGGAGGGGGGGGGGGAGGAGGAGGCAGGAGGGAGGAGGAGGAGGAGGAGGAGGGAGGAGGAGAGGAGGGGAGTAGGAGGAAGAGGGAGAGGGGAGGAGGAGGAGGAGGAGGAGGAGGAGGCGGAGGAGAGGAGGAGGGGAGTAGGAGGAGGAGGAAGAGGGAGGAGGAGGAGGAGGAGCAGGAGGAGGAGGAGGAGGAAGGAAAAAGGAGGGAGGAAGCCATGCATTAGGAGGACCAGGAGGGGAGCGGAGGGGGGGATCAGGATTAGGAGAGGAGGCGGAGGAGGCGGAGGAGGAGGAGGAGGAGGGGAGGGGAGAAGGAAAAATGGGGGAGGAAGAAGAGGATAGGGGACCAGGAGGATAGGGGGATCAGGAGGAGGAGGAGGAGGCGTGAGAGGGGAAGGGGGGAGGAGGAGGAGGAGGAGAGGAGGAGGGAGGAGGAGGCGGAGGAGGAGGAGGAGGAGGAGGAGGAGGAGGAGGAGGAGAGGAGGAGGAGGGGAGGAGCAGGAGGAGGCGCAGGAGGAGGAGGAGGAGGAGGAGAAGAAGAAGAGGAGGAAGAAACGAGGAGGACACGAGCAAGGAGAGCCCAGCACCGAAGGAGGTGGAGGAGGAGGAGGAGGAGAAGGAGAAGGAGGAGGAAGGGGGTCGAGGAGGTGGAAGGAGGAGGAGGAGGAGGAGGGAGGAGCGGAGGAGGAGGAGGAGGAGGAGGAGGAGGAGGAGGAGTGAAGAGGAGGCGGAGTAAGACCAGGAGGAGGCGAGGAGGAGGAGGAGGACGAGGAGGAGTAGGAGGAGGAGGACGAGGAGGAGGACGCCGACGACCACGACCACGACGACGACGACCACGACCACGACGACGACGACGACGACGACGACGACGACGACGACGACGACGACGACCCGCTCAGGACATCACCACCACCACGAGGAGGAGGACGCCGACGACCACGACCACGACGACGACGACGACGACGACGACGACGACGACGACGACGACGACGACGACGACGACGACGACGACGACGACCCGCTCAGGACATCACCACCACCACGAGGAGGAGGACGCCGACGACCACGACCACGACGACGACGACGACGACGACGACGACGACGACGACGACGACGACGACGACGACGACGACGACGACGACGACGACCCGCTCAGGACATCACCACCAGCGTCTGAGCAGCGCACGGGGCGCCCGAGGGGGCCCTGCCGTCAGGAGAAAGGCGGCCCTCCTTTGCGGCGCCCGGGCGCCTCGCTGGCCCCTCCGCCCTGGCCATCCCTCCCGACCGCAGCCCCCTCGAGGGGCCCTTCCCTCAGCGCTCTCCCTTCCCTCAACGGTCTCCCTCCCCTGCTCCCCTCCTCCCCCTCTCCCCTGCTCCCTTCGCGTTCTCCCGTCCTTCCCCCTGCACGCCCCGGCCCCGTGTGCCTGCTTCTCCCGCCCTCCGCCCCCCTTGTGCCCTCCCCTTTGTGTTCCCCGTACCCTGCCCTCGCCCCTGCCCGTCCCAGGCCTTCACCGCTCCCGTTCCCCACTCCTGTTCCCTCCTCCTGCTCTGCCCCGCCCTCCCTTCATCTTCCTTGTCGCCCTCCCCATCCAGCAGCTACGTGCGATCCTTCTCTTCGCCCTCCTCCTCCTCCTCCTCCTCCTCCTCCTCCTCCTCCTCCCTCCCTCCCTCCTCTCCTCCTCCTCCTCATCTCCTCACCTCATCCTCTATCGGCTTCTCCACTCGACGGACGCTGGCGCTCCTCCTCCTCCTCCTCCTCCTCCTCCTCCTCCTCCTCCTCCTCCTCCGTTTCCTCCTCCTCTCGCATTGGCGCCGAGCACATACGTCTAACCTTTCTGGCAGCTAGAAGGGCGGTTGAGGTGACCGGCTTCAAGATTAGATTCTCGCTGTAGCGCCGTATACATTCGTTCAACACGCTGGCAACAGTTACAAGGATGGAGGAGGGTGGTTATCAACATGGGGCTTTGGCATCAGCGCTGCGCACATTCGTCTTGAATGCTCCAGCATTTAACACAGATAGCGTGGCACAGAGGCGCGCCGTGTGTCGAATTTCTCTCAAGTCCGAGGCGGGAGCAGGCCAGCAGATGGCCTTCGACAAAACTTGTATCGTAAGCACTCCCAAAGTGCATATGTAGGAGGGCTGTCGAAAACTCGCGTGGATGTTCACGGCTACCAGCCGAATCCGGGATAAACCAGAAGGTAAAGCGAGGAGGCCAAGACAGGCCCCAATAGGCTTTCCGCAGGCCTTGAGGAACCATCGCGCCGACGTGTGAGACACGACGAACTATCACGGACGAATTAACGCTCACAGGGAAAAAGGAGGAGGCAGATAAGGGCAGCCAGCATCGGCGGCAGCCTCAAGCCTAGCACACCCAGTCCACGACCTCGCAGGAGGACCAGCCGAAGGCCCACGTCAGGTGGCCGTAGGATTTGCTCACACTCATGAGCCAAAGGTGGCCATAAAAGGCAGTGACATCTATGAGTAGAGGCAAGTACACCAATGGACGATCCCAAGATGCGCGAATGTGGAATCGCAAACCCCCAAGGACCCTTAGGGAGGATTCTGCAAAACGCATTCTCTCTACACGAAATGAGGGCAACGGCATTCAAGTCACAGCCATCGCTTCCACGAAGGAATCATCACTTGGCGCCGACCGCGCGCTTGGCCCCGACCCCTCCCAGCGCCTTCAACAGCCGGCGCAAACGCGTGCCCGAAGGCAGCGAGGGCTGGGGTGAGTCGGGCACGGGATTCACCTCGCTCAGGCCCACGTTCTGAATGCTCAGGTGCATTATATTCCTGGCCTGATCGTAGCTCTTCGTGAGGCTCAAGAGACGCGTCTGAGTCCATGCCTCCTCGAGGCGTACCTTGCAGAATTGGGCCAAAGTGCTAGTTCCTCGTAAGTCTTCGCTCCCAACCTTTTCGCGCGCTCGAAGGGCTTGGAGACGACCCCATTGAAGATATGAAGGTGAGGTGGACCGAGCTGGTGGCCACGCTACTGAGACCGCGCGTTCTCGCTGTAAATCTGGCCCGACAGGCCGGCGGCTTCGAGCTCGGGGAGCTGAGCGCCCAGGAACCGCGCATCGACTCCCAGCTCCCATGGATCACGAAGAAGTTGGGACGGAAGTGGCACCTGCTTTACCAGGTCGGCCACAACGTTCTGCTGTTTCTTGTGGAACCTTGCGGGCCTTCTTGCCTTTTTCCCGGTTCTCTTTTAGTTTGTTTACCCCCAGTTTTGACTTGAAGGAGGCCGGCGGATTTCCGCTCGACAGAAAACAAGGTAAAGTCCAATTTGGCGTGAAAAATGCGTTTCGCGCGTGCCCGCTCGAGGAAAGTGAGCCCCCCAGCTTGGATCCTCGATACATGGCGGGGTCCGCGGATAATTTTTTCCTTCGTAGAAAAAGGTGCGGGGCATTTTCAGCAGGATCCTCAACAAAAAAACGAGGTCTGGAGCCCCGACCGCGACGCAGAAAAGCGCCCCGCGCGCAGGAATTCCGAAGATGTCTCGCGCGTGCCGCGTCCCGCGCGCAGGAATTTCGAGGATGTCTCGACTAATTCGCTGTTTTTTCCCGGATTTCCTTGGCCACAAAGGGGGGAGGACCTGGGGGCGCGGACGCGGCGTCGAGGGATCGTGGCGTTTGGAGCGCGGACCACGCGTAATTTGTAAGGGATCGTGGCCCTCGGAGCGCGGGCGCAGCGTAATTTACGAAGGGGTCGGGCCTTGGGAGCTCGAACGCAATGTAATCTACGAAGGATCGTAGCCCTTGGAGCGCGGGCGCAGCGTAAAATACAAGGGGTCGGGGCCCTGGGGGCTCGGACGCAGCGTGATTTACGAGGGATCGTGGCCCTGGGAGCGCGGACGCAGCATAATTTACAAGGGGTTGGGGCCTTGGGAGCGCGCCCCCAATGTTATTTAATCGCTTCGCTCATTCCGCCGGCCCTCGAGCGCTCTATGGGGCCTCTTTGAAGCCTCTTGGGGCCTCTTTGGGGCTTCCTAGGGGCCTCTTGGGGGCCTCTTGGGGGTCTCTTGGGGCTCCTTGGCGGCGTCTTGGGGCCCCCTTGGGCCTCTTGGAGGCCACGATCCTCGTGAGGGGTGTCGAAAAAAGGCCCTCAAAACCATCTCTGGGTAGACTTGGTCGGGCTGCGGTCGGGATACTTTTCGCCGGGGGACCCCCAGGGGCCGCCCCGCGCGCGCGAACTAGAAGTATCGTTAACAAATTACCGGAGATCTTAGCACGCCTCTGGCCCGTTGGGCCGGCGAATTTACGAGGGATCGTGGCCTTTGGAGCGCGGACGCAGTGTAATTTACGAGGGATCGTGGCCCTGGGAGCGCGTCCCGTGGCACGTCCATTGGCACGTTCCGTAGCGCGTCCCCTCGGCACGTCCCGCGGTGCGTCCCCGTGGCACGTCCCTTGGCACGTCGCTTGGCGCATCCCTTGGGACGTTCCGCGGCGCGTCCTCCTGGCACGTCCCCCCGTCAATTAGCTCGGGGGCAGATACGATGTGCTGAGGCAGCTCGAGCTTAAGATCCAGATCAATTCGGTCAGGACTCGGATGCAAAGGAGGACTCGATCCACAACGCTATAGAGCACAATCGCGGCATGCCACATCGCAGTTCAGCACGGCGCAGCACAGCACAGCCCTCGGCACGGTACATCAAGATCGATACACTCAGCATTGCAACCTGGCACGTTCCTTGGCACGTTCCGTGGGGCGTCCCTTGGCGAGTCCCCCTGGCACGTCGCGTGGCGCGTCCCCTGGCACATCCCGTGGCACATCCATTGGCACGTTCCGTAGCGCGTCCCCTTGGCACGTCCCGCGGTGCGACCCCATGGCACGTCCCCTGGCACGTAGCCTGGCGCGTTCCCTGCTGGCGCGTTCCCTTGGGACGTTTCCGTGGCGTCCCCTGGCATGTTCCCCTTTTTATTTTTTTTTTTGTTTTTTGTTTCTTTTTTTTTTCTTGCGTGTTTTTTTATTTTTGTTTTTTGTTCCCCTCTCCTTTGTTGTTTTTTTGTTTTTTGTTTTGTTGTTTTTTTCTTTTCCTCTCTGTTCGCTTTATTTTCTTTTTTCTTTGTTTTTTTTTTTTATTCTTGTTAGTTTTTTTTCTGTATTTTTTGGTATTTTAGATTTGGTGTTTTTCTTTTTTCTTGTTTTCTTTACTGTTGGCAAGTAGCTCGAGGGCAGCTACGATGTGCTGAGGCAGCTCGAGCTTAAGATCCAGATCAGTTCGGTCAGGACTCGGATGCAAAGGATGACTCGATCCACGATGCTATAGAGCACAATCGCGGCATGGCACATCGCAACTCAGCACGGCGCTGCACTGAACAGCCCTAGGCACGGTACATCAAGATCGATACACTCAGCATTGCGTTTGCCCGTCGCCCAATCAGGTGTCTTTGACACGTTGCCATGCCTTACATGTCTACATTCCGTTCTTGGTTCGTGGGTCGATCATGTTCTTCTTCCTTTCCGGGTGGTGGCTGGGCGGGGGACGCGCTTGCTGAGTTCGAGGGCGGCGCGCCCTTGGCATTTTGCGACGGGGGCGCGCCCGAACTTGGTTTGCACCCCCGCGTTTGAGAGCCCAAGAATGTTCCATCGTCGCGCTCCCGTGATCGTGGAGCGGGGGATAGTGATCGTGGAGCGGGGGGAAGGTGGCAATCTCGAATTTGAAGCTGAAGCTGAGCCAAAGCATGATACCAGTTATCGCCACATGAAGGACACACCACGGGCACACCGCCAATAGGGTAGACCAGGGCAGTATGCAGCTCGAGCGTGACTTTCTAGCAGACTTGCGGCATGCAACCGCCTGTGAACAGCACGGGCATCGATTCATGGTCACGCATTTCAGGATGTTTGACGTTTTACCGTGCGTGCCGCCCTTCGTGGAAGCGTCGCGCCGAGTGCGCGCCTTGCTCGACGAGAGAGTCGCACCACGAGCAGCACCCTCAGCGGTAAGGTGATGACGTGCACATCGAAGCTCAGCAGTGCCCCACCCCTCATCCCCACCAGGAAACTCACCAAGGTCCACAGCAGGGCCCGTCTTCGCAAGACGATGCAGCTTGCTGAGCGCGCTAACGCACATGATGAAAACCTATGCCGTCTAACATACTCGTCCTTACACAGCTGCTGAAGGGACCCACCCACCCACTCCAAACCTCCATCGAATCATCCATGTCGGT